AAAATTATCACTTAATCGGAAGCATGTTGCCTCCAACTGGATCAAAGCCTAAGTTTGCACAATTGTATATCTAAGATACGAAAAATGAGGTTCAAAATAGAGTTTCATCTGTTGGGTAAGTAGGATCTACATTTATTTCAGTGTACTTTATATAATGGTTTTATAAATCTAATTCTTCCTCATTTGTTGTAGCGATGATAGTAGGAGAAGCAAGTTGCATGAAGCTATAGTTGTTGGGTTGTCTAAGATGCTCAACAAAAATAACGTGTTGGGGAAATCTTTTCGTCTTGCTAAAGAGAAGATAGATACGAGTAATTCCCTTGATGTGAAGCTAAAGTTAATTAGGAAGCACTATGGTGATGCGAGAACATATAATTTACCGTCTGTTTCTGAGGTCGCAACCTTGGTAGTTGAGATTTTGATTAATCTTTGGGTGAGAGGGATATATTGGTTGAAACTCAGTCTGGTGCACTCCAAAGGATAAATGAATTGAATCCGGCCTATTTTGGTCTGCAATATCCATTATTATTCCCTTACGGAGAGGACGGTTACCATGAGGATACATTGTTGTCTAATTAAGGGTGGTAATATTGTTGGAGGAGGTAGGACATAGAGTGAGTGTGAGGGAGTTTCTTGCGTTTCGTGTACATGAAAGGTCTGATCATCATTCATCTATGTTGAAGACCAAAAGGCTTTTTCAGCAATTCATTGTTGACGGTTATACCTTGGTTGAGTCTGCGAGGTTGAGATTTGTTAGGATACATCAAAAGCAGCTTCGTTGTGAAATGTATAAAGGTTTGAGTGATGCTTTTTTACGTGGAGAGAATGATTCCCATACACAAGGTAAGAGAATTGTGTTACCTCCTACTTTTACTGGGGGAGCACGTTATATGATACATAATTACCAGGATGCAATGGCAATCTGTAGGTGGGCAGGTTATCCAGATTTATTCATAACCTTTACGTGCAATCAAGGGTGGCCAGAGATAGATCGTTTTATGCGTCAAAGAAGTTTTAGAGCGCAAGATCATCCTGATGTAATTAGTCGTGTTTTCAAAATAAAATTTGACGGTTTGATTAAAGATCTTCGCAAACATAAAGCCTTTGGGAATGTTAGAGGAGGTATTTTCTATTTCGTATTCCTTATAATATTAACCTCATGTGGGTATTATTTGACTTCATTTTTGTTTTTTGCAACTGTCTACACAATTGAGTTTCAGAAGCGCGGCTTGCCTCATGCCCATATTTTTTTGTGGTTATCAAACGAAGATAAATTGCCCGCACCAGCTGATATAGATAAGGTAATATCTGCCGAAATTCCAGACAGAAATCTAGACCCGATGCATTATGTTGCGGTGAGGGATTTTATGATGCATGGCCCTTGCGGTGGTAATGTGAAGTCCGCGCCTTGCATGGTTGATGGTCAATGTACCAAACACTTTCCTAAAAAATGGTGCGCAGAGACGACCGTTGACGACGATGGTTATCCAGTGTTTAGGCGCAGAAATAATGACTGCGTAATAACAAAGAATAAGGTCGATTTGGACAATAGGTTTGTTGTTCCGCACAACTATTATTTGTTGATGAAATATGGATCTCATATGAACGTAGAGTGGTGTAATCAGTCAAGGTCCATCAAATATTTGTTTAAGAACATAAACAAAGGGCGTGATCGGGTGACGATGGGTTTTTACCAGACAGTTGATGGTGATGCACAACCAAAGCCGATCGATGAGATACAAATGTACTATGGCTGTAGATACATTTCTGCTTGCGAGGCTGCTTGGTGCATTTTTGGGTTTGAAATTCAATATAAGACCCCCGACAGTAGAATGGTTGAGCTTCCATTTGCCGGAAGAACAAAGTGTTGTCTTTGGCGATGACCAACCACTCGATTCAGTTGTTCGAAACCATTCGATTAAGGATAATATGTTCATGGCATGGATGGAGGCCAATAAGAAGTACCGGGAAGCAAGATTCTTGACGTATGCAGAGTTTCCTCAGAAGTTTATTTGGAAAAAGAATACAAGAGAGTGGGCTCCTAGAAAACAAGCATTCGCTATTGGCAGAGTCTATTATGGTCATCCCGGCAGCGATAAATCTTATTACATTAGGTGTCTTTTGAATCACATTCGTGGTGCAACGAGTCATGAGGATTTGAGAACATTAAATGGTGTTGTTTATGATTCTTTTCGTGATGCATGCTATGCGTTAGGTTTGCTCGACGACGATAGAGAATTCATCGATGCTTTTAGTGAGGCAAGTCATTTCTCATCTGCCAATTGTTTGAGGATTCTTTTTGTAATACTGTTATGGACAGAGTCGATGGCTGACTGGAGCATGTTTGGAAAAAATGTTGGTCATTCATGGCTGATGACATACAATACACGCGAAGGCGAATATTGCATCATCCAGGTGGTGATTGTCATCCATATTTATTATTTCATTGTCTTACATACTAGCGATGTCAATTTTTGAACTGTTATTTTCTATGTGATGTAACGTGTTATCTTCATGCTAATGTATTTTCCATTTGTATGTGATTCTCATTCACAGAATTAATTTTGTCAAATGAACAATTGGAGAGATTTGCTTTGGAAGAAATAGAAAGATTGTTGCGGAGCCGTGAAAAGAGTTTGCACGATTACCCTCCGATGCGTACTGTTGTGCTTGATTCACTTCTATCTTCTAATGATAGACTTAAATATGAAGAACTTCGTTATGATCAAACCACCATGAGTGAGGAACATTCAACGTTGTTCAAGTCTCTTACGGATGAGCAACTCCGAGTATATGAGACAATAATGTGGTCTGTTAATGAAGAGGTTGGTGGTGTTTTTTGTGTATGGATACGGTGGTACGGAAAAGCCATTTGTATGGAAGACCCTTTCTACTGCCATTAGGTCTAAAGGGGAGATTGTTCTGAATGTTGTATCAAGTGGTATCACATCTCTTCTTTTGCTGGGTCGACGTACGACTCACTCTCGATTTGAAATATCGATAAGTCTTAACGAAGATTCAACGTGTCATATTAAACAGGTAAGTTTATTGGCCAAGCTTATTGTACGGTGTAAGTTGATAATATGGGATGACGAAGCCCCAATGTTACACATGTTCTATTTTGAGGCATTGGACTGCAGTATGAGGGACATAATGCAGTTACATAAACCGATTAATGGGGCTCTTCCTTATGGTGGGAAAACAATGGTATTTGGTGGGGATTTTCGGCAGGTGTTGCCGGTGATACCTCATGGGAGTAGACAAGATGTAGTCAATGCCATAATTAATTCATCATATTTGTGGTCGGAATGCACAGTCCTTCGTTTGATAAAAAATATGCGCCTACAAAATATGACTAATCCAGCAGATTCGTACGATTTAAAGGTCTTTTCGGATTGGATTGCCAACATTGGTGACGGGGTTTCAGGTGAAAGTAATGATGGTCATGTTCGTATCACTATTCCTGAAGATCTTTTGATATGCACCAACGGAGATCCTACAACTGCAATTGTTCAAAGCATATTTCCGGAATATGTTGAATCTGGGGGTGATGTGAGTTGTTTGCGCGACCGTGCCATTTTGGCACCAACATTGGCTGTTGTTGAAGTCGTTAATGACTACATGACGGCTCTTAATGTTGGTCAAGTCTCAGGGACTTATCTGAGTTCTGACAGTGTTTCAAAGGTTGATTCTACGACCGATCTCCTGGCAGAACTGCACACGACGAAGTTCTTGAATAGTATAAAATTATCTAGTGTACCTAATCATGAGTTAAAGTTAAAGGTAGGGACCCTGGTGATGCTCTTGCGAAATATAGATCATTCAATGGGGTTGTGTAACGAGACTCGGCTTATTCTAACGAGGCTCGGTGATCATGTTTTGGAGGGCAAGATTTTAACTGGTGTCAGTGCTGGACAAAAAGTATTAATTCATATGTTGTCCTTGACCCCATCCGGTGCCAGCCTGCCTTTCAAATTTCAAAGGCGACAATATCCTGTTATGACTTCATATGCTATGACTATAAATAAAAGTCAAGGTCAATCTTTGTCCGAGTGTTTGCCACTTTTAGTCCTCTGACTATTATGTCATTGACACTTTTGGTACTCGACTTTGATTTTTTTCACCTATAGTGCTCGACTATTGTTCCAGAGACACTTTTGGTACCCGTCTTTGAAAGTTTCCATATTTAGTCCTGCGACTTTCATAAAAGTGACACTTTTGGTCCTTTAACTATTATAATATTGACATTTTTAGTCCCCCGCTTATTGTGTCAAAATCATAGTGGAAGGACTAAAAGTGTCAATCTTATAATACTCATGGGACTAAATGTGGGAAGCTTTGAAGTCGAGAACTAAAAGTGTCTCTACCACAATAATCGAGGACTAAAATTGGAAAAATTAAAAGCCGAGTACCAAAAATGACAAAGACACAATAGTCAGGGGACCAAAAATGGCATAAACCCATCTTTGTCCCCTGTTGGGTTGTTGAAAAAACTGGTATTTACAAACGGGCAGTTATATGTTGCAGTATCAAGGGTTTCCAATCGTTGTGGTTTGAAAATTCTAATTGTTGGTGAAGATGAAGGAACCACTACGAGGACTCAGAATGTTGTATTCAAGGAAGTCTTCAACAATATTCAAGTTTACATGTAATGCGTATTTAAAATGTTGTAGCTTCTATGGCCGTTTGTTGAATGTTTTTTTTTCTTTTAAGTAATGGTTATTGCTCTCTTTTCAATGATAATATTATAAATCTGTTTCGTTCATCGCTTTGATCTATATTAGTATTACATGGAGACATGTGTTGTCATGAATTGATACTGTAATTTGAATTAGTGAACATAAATGAATTTGAAAGAAAAAATCTCAGACCGTGCATCGCACGGGTGAGTTTACTAGTCACTTTAACATATGCGAGTGTTTTTAAACTGGAATTAGTATGTTAGCATTTTTAAAATGTTTAGCAATTACACCCACTAGCTTAGAGCTCGGATAGCCTCTTTGAAATAAAAGCATAAGTTGGTAGAACTAAATAATTAGTTGGTAAGATCAGGCCAAGAGCAAAAGTTGAGAGCTTCTCTCTCCTGGGTTTTCGCCCCAGTGCTTTTGCGTAAATGACTTCCACGAATTGGCCGTGTTTTGGGTGTTAGAGTGCATCTTTGATGGTTGTTTGAGTCGGATTCTACTTCTACTGTTATATCCGACCTTGGATTCGAGCTTAGAATGTGGAAAGATGGTAAAAATAACAAAAACGAGGGTTCGAGACATTGTTCTTATGCGTGAATCGATTCATACGCGTTGATTGATTTCAAGTTTTGTAGGTGTTTTTGTGGTTACAATAGGTGCTAACTGGTGCATTCTGGGTCGGAATCTGTTTCTAATTCCGTCTCAAATCTTGGATTTCGATCTGTGAACGATAAACGCAGGTCGTCGTCAACTGCGATTTTACGTTTTCTGCTACAGGTCGGTCTATCAGGTGTTCTGTTTCAGTTCATTGGGACTCTGGTTTTGGGCTTCACAGGTCCAGGCGTACTCCCTTATACTTCTGCAGCAGGTACCTACACCTGGAATTTCTGAGGTTGACTTTGGACGGTCTTGCCATGTCAAAGAAGAAGAAACAAGGGACGGTGGAAGCTTCCATGTCAAGGGTAACTAGATCAAGCTTTGCTGCTTTGGAGGATAGAGATGAGGAGTTCCCAGCTTTAATTGCTGGAATCCCAATGAATCCAATAGAAACTGCCTGCGTGTCTGGTGCAAAAAAGAAGGCTAAGGATACTTTTGGACCTGCGACTAAGAAGGCTACTGCTAAGCCTGAGGTACAGACTTGCGATAAGGCCAAAATTTTGACAGTGAACACTGAAGACAATACTCTGGCAGTAACTCATGCTGTAGCAGTAAATGAAGGCCAACTAACTGCAGGTTCAACTGCAAAGGCAGCAACTCCTGTACCTTGGAACGCTCTGTTTAAGGACAACCGCGATCCAAGGTGTGGTATCAAATTGAGATATATCCCTCCCAAAGGAGAAACTGTGGACTTTGGTGATCGGGTGCTACCATCCATGGTTGAAATGTGGGGTTTTTGCCTAGTTGGACACTTCACCGGGAATTTCCCCGGACTCAAAGCGGTGCATGACCTTAAAGCTAAATGGGGCGTTAAATGCCTTGTGAGGTCCCACAAAAAGGGTTGGTTGATCTTTAAATTTCAGAATGAGGAGGATAGATCAAAGGTTCTTCAAGGAGGACCGTATACGGTGTTTGGAAAACTCCTAATGCTCAAGGTACTTTCGGAAAATTTTTCGTTTGAGGATGAAGAATTTCTAAAAGTACCAATTTGGGTTAAGTTCCATGATTTACCATTGCAATTATGGAATGATGAGGCCATGAGTGAGGTGGCTTCCATGGTTGGGATTCCAATAACAACTGATAAAATCACCCAAGAAAGGATCAACAATGACTATGCTAGAGTGTTGATAGAGGTTGACGTCTCGAAGCCACCACCACTCTCGTTCCATATAAGACTACCTTCACAAAAGGTATTCAAGCAAAGTGTGGTTTATGAAACTTTTCCAAGTTATTGTTTTCATTGCAAGGAATTTGGGCATCACCCGTTCATTTGTAAGAAGTTATCAAAATGTGGGGTTGGGGTAAACAAGGAGAAGGAAAAACTTGATGGGGTAGGGGATGTAATTGATGTAGTTGAGCCTGGAAAAGCTGCTGCCTGTGTCCCTTACCCGTCCGGATATGGACCAGACCCGACCGGGTCTTCACAAAAAAATGCCCAGGGGACTGCCGTGGTTGAGAAACATGCTCAGGGGCCTTCCAAGCTCCCTGTCGTGGTTGCTGGTATACCAGCGCCTCCTGCTCATCCTACAAAAAAGGTTGAGAGATTGAAAAAGGTTTCAGACCCGGGCATCGAGGTGGAGGACCCCGATCAAGTGGTTTCCGAGGAGGAGGACTCTTCAAGTGACAACTCGAGTGACACTATGGACTCGGATTTGTTTCACGAGGTCGTGGTAACGTGTAGAGATGGAACAAAGAAAACTATGATAACAATGAAGCCACAAGAAGACTTGTATTGAATTTGTGTTTTTAATGGACTGTTTAAACTGTTTTGATGCTTGTGATGGCATGTTTTGATACTAAGTCAGGGCCTGTCCTGTGCTAGTTTATTTTTCTTTTCTGAGGTAGGGGAAGGTTTGGTTACTATATATAGCTAGTTTTGACTAGCTTAGATAGTTTTGATGCATTGTACTATGCTATTTTTCTGGATATATATATTTACATTTTATCCAAAAAAAAAAAAATAATTAGTTGGTTACCCGCACGGGTAGCTCAGTTGGTTCAGTGGTAGGAAATTTGGACCAAGTGACCAAGGTTCGAAACCCCCAGCGGCCGTGTGGAGGTCACAGAACCTGAAATAAGGCTGGGCCTCTGGTGCGCATAGGAAAAAGGCCTATCATCATTGGGCTGACTGAGTCACCGTGATTAACATGCTCCCAAAAATCCTGTCGAGTCGGGGTATAGGGGGCTCCTGGGGTGGGAGATTCCACCTTTTTGGACCAAATAATTAGTTGGTTCTACACTTGGGTGGGAGATTGCACCTTTTTGGACCAAATAATTAGTTGGTTTATACATCCATTTATTCTCAAATCGATCAGCTTCGCTGCTTGGGAATCGACCCATTCAAATAATTAGATCACGAGTCAACCCGATTTTTAAATACGAGTCAATAAGAGAATGTCTTGACTTAATACTAGTATATCGAGAACGTGTGAGTTTGGGATTTGACTTATTGCTTGAAATTTGATGGTGTTTGACCAATCACTGACAGGTTTTCGGGAGCTATAATGGGATCTAAGAAGACATGACACACACAATAATCAATCAGTTAAGAAATATTTTTTTTGTGCGCGCTAATGTGTAGGTGGCGGTGTAAATCTAACAAATTAATTGTTTGGGCAAATCAGATTTATTTTTCTCAATAGTTTGGATGGGTTCATTTGAGTCTAGGATTAGTCCAATGAAATTGGTACAAACCACGGCTAACAAAAAATAGACTTGATGGGGATTGGGTGTTAAAAAACTTGATAGGCATATATTGGTCATATGGTTGATAAAATTATCATATTATATGTATTACCAAAACTAATCCCTTGTCATAATGTATGACCTTATAAGTTTTTTTCTCTAAAATAATGTTTTTTTGGTACTCTATCCATATTATATTGTTTACTACAATATGACTTGACATAATATTTAAGTTAAAAGTAATTGAGGTAATGAATACTATAGAAAAAGTATTAAAGATGGGAAAAAGTATGAAAATGAAGATGAAAAGTAGAAAAAGTAAACGTAATAATTGAGTATTTGTAAAAGGAAAAGTAAAAGTATTTTTAAATGTGCTTTTTGGGTTGATCAAAGCTACGAACTAGAAGATGGAGAGAGGATTTGTTGGGTTTCACGTCGGGGAGCATTTGAAGCAGAGCAAGGAGCCTTATTTGGACGACATCAAACTCCCACAAGGTTCTCCCTCCGGGCCAGCATTTTCTCAAGGATTTGGCCGACGATATGTTCGCCAAGGGCATGGTTTGCCTCATCCAGGAGAGTCTCCTCGTCTTGGAACGTCACTTTCCTGCTCCATTCGACCCCGAAGCCTCCAGGTTTGATTCATTCTTTGTTGAAGCCTATGAAGACGCTCTGAAGCTCATCAAGGCCAAAGAGGAAAATGCCACAAAGGGAGCCAATCTGAGCGGCGATAAGGCTTAGCATACTCCCTTCCTTCTTTTCTTCTATTGTAATTGCATTGTTGTTGTATTTCCCAGCTATTCGTGCTGAAGAATAACACATCATTCTTCCCTTGCACATCCGTTTTAAGCGTTTGCTCAATTTCATTTTATTCCACGAAGTACTTAAACACTAGGGCTCCTCATCCATGGTCACCGGACGACCGGATCTTGATCCCCCCAACCGCTCAAGTTCACGAAGCTCTCAGTAAATCCTTGGCTCGGCTTGCCATAGGTTCGGCCAAGGGGTCCTTACTTGGTGAGAGTTTCGGGGATTGGGGCTCCTCATCGTGGTCGTCAGATGACCGGATCCTGAGCCTTCAACCATTCAAGTTCACAAAGCTCTCAACAAGTCCTTGGCTCGGCCTGCCATAGGTTCGGCCAGGGTCCTTACTTGGTGAGAGGTTCAGGGATTGGGGCTCCTCTTGGTCACCAGACGACCGGATCCTGAGACTCCAACCATTCAAGTTCACGAAGCTCTCAACAAGTCCTTGGCTCGGCATGCCATAGGTTCTGCCAAGGGGTCCTTACTTGTTGACAGGTTCGTGGATTGGGCCTCCTCATCCTGGTCGCCAGATGACCAGATCATGAGCCTCCAACCATTCAAGTTCACGAAGCTCTCAGCAAGTCCTTGGCTCGGCCTGCCATAGGTTCGACCAAGGGGTCCTTACTTGGTGAGAGGTTCGGGGATTGGGGCTCCTCGTCCTGGTCGCCAGACGACCAGATCCTGAGCCTCCAACCACCCAAGTTTACGAAGCTCTCAGCAAGTCCTTGGCTCGGCCTGCCATAGGTCAAAAGGTCCTAACTTGGTGAGAGGTTCGGAGATTAGGGCCTCTCATCCTGGTCGCCGGACGATCGGATCCTAAGCTGCCAACCATTCCAGTTAACGAAGCTCTTAGTAAGTCCTTGGCTCGGTCTGTCATAGGTTCAGCCAAGGGGTCCTTTCTTGGTGAGAGGTTCGGGGATCAGGGCTCCTCATCCTAGTCGCCAGACGACCGGATTATGAGCCTCCAACTATTCATGAGTTATGTCTCCATTGCTTTTTTATATATATTTGGCCCACGGCCGCTATTGGTAAAAATTTTTGAAGTGTGCTACGTTCCACACGCCTGCCGAGCATATATCCATTGTTTGTAAGGTGAAAGTTTCGTGTGCGAATTTATGCCACACTTTGTATGGGTCTTCCCAGTGGCTCTGACGTTGATGATTTTATTGAAATAAAGATGGGTGGCTCGGTGGTATTCTTCCATTCGACGTGCGGCCAGGTTCCTACGCTCTTTGATGAAGTGGAGCTCGGCTCGCAAGGTCTCCTGGTTCCTTTCTGGCTGAAAATGTGTGACCCTGTGGGTTGGCACGGGCACTTCAGTGGGGACCTTTTCTTGGAAGCCGTATGCCGATGCAAACGGAGTCTCCCCGTTGGCCGTTCTGAGGGTTGTGCGGTATGTCCATAAGACATAATTCAACTGATTTGGCCAGCTGGAAGCATAGTCCTCCACTTTTATAAAAACTTATTAAATTTTATCTATAATCAACTCTTATGAACTTCAATTTGTAAATATAATGTAATATGATACTTTTGAAATATGCATTGATGTGACATTTTAAAACTGAACATAACATGAGTAACAATTGAACATACGTAACTTACAAAATGAGCATTGATATGAAAATCATAAGTATTTTTAGTTGACTATCAAAACAATTTCATTGAGCATCAAATCTTCTCTGATCTATTGAGTATAAAAAACTTGCAATTGAGTATCGTGTATATGCTCTTGATCTATAATGAACTCATAGGTGAATCTAATGTAGTATGACACTTTTTGAAATATGTGTTCATACAACATTTTAAAATGAGCACAAAACATGTACCTGATGTGAGTTTTCTCGCACTTAAAAAGATTGTAATATAGCGGTGAAAGTACGAGTATCGTCTCCACAGGGACGGTAAAAGGGAAATAAGAATTAACTAAAATCAGGGATAAAAAAAAATAAAACAAATGCGGTCGTGCGAGAATTGGTTGCTTGAGAAAACTAAAATTGCAAATAAATGACTAAAAGTAAATATTTGGCTTCTTCTTAATTAACGACGAAGGGAACAAGGATTGATTCCGCGGTAATCAGATTTCTGGCAGATCAGGCTTAATTACATGAATTTAATTTAATTGAGCCTAGCTAATCAATACTAAGTTCTTACCGCTCTCGCGGCGTAGAGTACAATAATTTAGGGGACCAGGCTGATCTCTCATGCGACAGGATCCTAAATTATTGCCAAGACGAACGAGCTTACGGTCCCTTAATCGCTACTAATCTCTTAGAGAACGATTAAGTGTGTGTGAATGTGTCCTAGAACAAATTAGATCTCTCTTAATTTATTCTATATGCAATTGTAATTCTAGTGGCCATTCTAGGTTACAAAAGATATCAATTAAATTATTCAAACACAAATTAAACGGCATTCATGCAATTTACACCATCAAGAACCTAGCCATACATCATGATTAACCCCTTCATCAACCCCAAATCCCTAATTAAAACTACTCCCTATTCATAATTGAAGAATCAATAGAATTGGGATAAATAGAATTAATTGTCATTAATCAAAAAGTAGGAATTTACAAAGAATGTTAAGGAATTGAAAAACCTGGCTGTAAAAGCTCTCTAATCTCGTCCTTTATCTCTCTCTAAAGTTCCATCCCCCTTAATTAGGGTTATGGGGTGGTATTAATAGGAAACAAGGCAATTTGGGGTGAACTAGGACAGATTTTGGGTACGCACGGCACCACGCACGCGTGCGTGGCGTCCGTGCGTCCGACAGACGTCCGCATAAAAAGGGGGACGCACGCGTGCGTCCCTAGCCACGCACGCGTGCGTGGCTGGCATTAAGGTAGTCTTCGTTTTCTTCATTGGATGCACGCGTGCGTCCTTGCACACACGGCCGTGCGTGGCCCTTTTTGTTCCGAATTATTCGTTTTCTCCCGTTCAAGTCCCCGTTTGGCCCCGCGATCAATCGAACAGCTCTTTCTTCATCGAATCTTCATCGTGAATCTCCTGGTGCCCTTTAAAACTCTGAATTCATTCTCGAACACTACTCAATTCATCCCAATAAATCCTTAATGCGCCGATACCGGGCCCTAAAAGACGTGATTTCATATCTAAAAATCCCAAAACTCGTTCCAACATCCAACTAACATGACTTGAGCTAAATATGATACTTATGATGCCTCAAAGCGAGGGAAACCATCAAAATCCGACTCCAACACGCATTAAGAGTGTGTTGAAATACGAACTTATCAGATTCCCCCACACTTAAGCTTTTGCTTGTCCTCAAGCAAATCGTTCATGGGACTTACGATAATCACCACACGGAATCAAAACAGTTAGCATGCACACGTAGTTAAAGGGATATTCACAGAACAGAAAATCTAAGCCAGGAAAATTCTTCCCTAAACTACATCTTTGTACTCAAGCTAAACTATTTGACAAATTTATTCACAACATCCTTAAAGTAATGACAGCATACACAAATAAACTAGTT